CACCATTCTCCACAGATCTACAATAGTATTTGGTAATGGCATCTGAGTTACCAGGAATGCATCTTTCACCGTATATGCCTGTCAATATTAATGCAATAAATAAATGAAATAATTTGAGTTAAATCACTCAGAATTTCCAGTATAAATAATTTTCAGTATAAATAATTGCCCACTTGTATGTATGAATTGTATTTGGAAATGAATAACAACTAACTGATGAATACTTACACTAACAAAACTTGCATTGATGTAGTCAGTTGAGAATTCATCCTCGTATATTGGAGTCATTAAACGAATACGATGGCGATTAACTATACAAAAAAAAATGTTTTTAATTCACTTGGGAAGAATTAATACAAAAAACACTGTACTAGTTCTCTTGTATCACTTGGTATCACTAGCTACTACTAGTGTCAGTAATAAAAATACTGTGCTGGCTCACTTAGGAAATGTAAATGACAAAAATACTGTGCTAGCTTGTATCACAGTGCAGTGATGAATACACTTAGTGCAGGCCAGCATCATTTGATTTGAAGGTGTTCAAGCAATCCTAAATGGTATCATAACCTGGAAAGATTGGCATAAGTCATGATATACAATGTGCAATGTGCAATGTACTTACATGGTAAGACATTGTGAAATCTATTCTTGTCAGAATTTTCTTCCAGTGTTCCTACATCACATTCATCATCTCTGGGTTTACGACTTACTTTGCCAAGATTCTGCAAAACGACATTAGTCCAACAAAATAAGTTCATAAAAATCATAATAGCATATATGTTGTACAAGTTTTGCATACATGTGTGGACCAACTAACACGTTTTAAAGAAATGAAAGCAACAAGATTAGAGATGAATAAACAATTCAGTGATGTCTTGTTACATTTACAAGAAATACTAGTATTTTGGCAGAAAATAGTTATTTTTTATTAAAAGCCTGAGCAAAGTTGTTGCATTGCTAGAACATAGTAAAATTATTGTAACCTTGCCCATGGAGTTGATTTCTTTGCAACATACTAATTATGCATTTCTTTGATCTCAACACATACCAATGAATGAGTGTAATAAAAAAAACTTGGTCTGCATTCTTTTTATCAATATTATTGGTCTGCATTCTTTTTATCAATATTAATGGTCTGCATTCTTTTTATCAATATTATTGGTCTGCATTCTTTTTATCAATATTATTGATCTGCATTCTTTTTATCAATATTAATGGTCTGCATTCTTTTTATCAATATTATTGGTCTGCATTCTTTTTATTATTTTATTATTATTCAACTTGTGTTGAATTATTAATAAATTGAAACAAATGTAGCATATGTGTGTAAAGTAACACTGATATATGTACCAGCAATGTTTACTAACCTCCCATTGTACTTGCAGTTGTGATTTTTTGGTCTTTCTGTCAATCGTCTGTAATTTTCCATAAATCTGCCTGAAGTCTGATGCTGGAATTGAAGTGTCTCCACACAAGATGGCTTCCATTACAGCAGTATGAACAAATTCATATTGCTCCTGGTAAACAAGAAACACAAAAATATTATTAGACATAATAGTGTATAATTTATATATATATATTTATATACAGTGAAAACAAATATTAGTACATGTACAGTTATAAGTAAACAGGATACCACAAAGATTACACAAAAAAAGTACAAAGAGAGTTTGAATTGACGTGTTGCAAAAGTAATTCTCATAATAACTTTCTCATCCAACTGGAATATATGGAACCCTGATTTCTATATGTGGTGAAAATATATATCCTTGCAATATACTATTTGTTTTGGACAATACAATCATTCCTTATTTGGAATTCACATTTCCTAATAAGGTAAACTACTTGCACAAAGTTTTGAAAACTTCATTTATAGCAATTATGCATGACTATAACAGTCCAGGAAATATTTCAGCACAACGTTAATAAAAGGAAAGACGGTGACCAAATGTCAGTACATAAATCATACTCCATGATGTTTAATATGGTCTGAGTGCTATTTTTCAGTTGTATACAATAATGAGTATTTGTACAATACAATTTTTATGTCTGTTTATTAGTTGAGCCAAATTAAAGAGTAATTCTCCATAAAAGTTGATGAAAAGGCATATGTTTTAATGGTTTATTCAAATTACAGAGGTAATCATTTAATCTTTCAATACAGCCAATGTATACATTGTAAACAATGGGTGGGCCGTTCAAATTATGGCTACCATGATGTACTGGCATAATCTTTGGGATTGGAGAAACAGGATTCAAGTTCAGTCAGAATAAATGCATGTGATTTAAGACAGTAGTAGTTTGAAGGAAATGGAAGTGAATGACAGATGCAATGGTCAAATGACTGTGCATAATCCCTATATGATAACATTGAATTACCATTACTATAAAATACTATGAGGTTATTATGAGAATACTTCAAAGTATGCCAAAGACAGTACAGCTGGAGCATCGACCGACATGCAGCAGAGGTCGTTGTGCGGCATACTGTTTGAGTGCATACTTTGAGGTATTCTCGTAATAACCATATTATTATACATCTTTTCCTTTCAAGGATACACCAATGGAATGCTGAAATCCAAAATATTTAAACAGAATCAGCGAACTTTTTTGTGTTGAATCAGGTCAAACCCTGGTGGCAGCCATGATTGTTTTTATTATTAGAGGACGCTTATGCCCCGCAATCATTCCATATTTGGAATTCGCATTTCCTAATATGGTAGGATGAAAATACCCAGTAAAATACTGCAAAATCACGGCACGCAGTAACTTACGACGTTACGGTGATAGATGTATAATAATAGTAAGTAAATAAGTAAATAACTTTATTGATTTCGTATCATTATCAGGATCTTGGAAATAATACAATAAAGAATGTTGTTTAAATAAACAACAGCTAGCCAAAAAAGTAACAAACTAAAGTAAACAATTAGAAAATTAGATCAATAAGTAAAACATATACAAGAAATGTAAAATATATATATAAAAATAATATATATGATGGACATTATTTAAACGAACAATATGCAAAGTTAATATACATCTACAACACACACTCAAGACAAGGACAGTTTATATCAACATGGTCTTTGACATGAAAAATACCAGACAATCATCAATCATATAGTGGTTGCATTAATTACAGGAAAACCATTGTAAGATGTAAGTAATTAGAGCCATCAGTTTATGAGCACATATACTGGAATATGTATTAGTAACTCAAAGCCTATACCAACATGTAGAATATGAGCTCT